CGCATGAGTCTGTGTCAGCTGGATGGAACTTTGGCCCGTGGTGCTGCTCGACCTTGAACTGGAACTGGAGCTGGAGCTCTGGAAGGACACGCTGTTCTCGTTTTGATCCTGCTGCTGTTGCTGATGCTGCTGCTGCACCTGCTGTTGCGTTTGCTGCACCTGCTGGATGTGGTAGACGGAATTCCGGCGAGCATTCGGTGCCGTTGGCGGCAAATAGGCATTGCTCTGCTTGCGGCGTCCAGCGGTATTTTGATATTGATAGCCACCCGATTGCGGCGGTCCGTAGGGATTGTTCTTGAAGTACTCGGGATCGGCGGACGCCTCCGCCGGAGTCTGCTGCTGGTGGTCCGCCGGCGAGTAGAGCAGATTGTTGGTGTTGCTGGCCAGCTGGTGGATCGGGTGCAGCGGAGCCAGGGTGACGCCCCACGGCTGACCCAGGGCACCGAAGGGCAGCGAGAAATTGGTCAGAGCCATGGGAGGGGCGGAATATGCTAGCGCGCTCAGTTCGCAAACGAAAGACTTAGGCCACAAACTCGATCCGGCCGCGCATGCGACATCATCTAGAACAGATCAGCGCACGGAAATTGATGGCGCGCGCTCTCGAAATTGATTTATGCAAAAATAACAAATCAGTCAGATCAGCAGCTCCCACTTCCCACTTCCCACCCCTGGCAACAATGGCAAACACACACTGGCAGGCACAGAATATCAACACACACACGTCGTCGATCGGCGGGCTATGTCGTATATATATATATGTATATACCGATATACCGATATTGAGATATGTGCAAACGATGTTGTTGTTATTAAATAACTTAAGCGCGAACTTTTTGCTCCGGTCCCGGGTCCGCGTGTGTGCTAAAAAACCATTCACGACAAGCTGACAATCGAGACTGAGCCGTTCTCGCCGTGCGCCTTAAAAAAAAACTTAATGGGTGGAAAATGTTTCAACTCTCGAAATCTCAAAATCTCCGACTTGAAACACTGCGCTCAGCTCCCTCAATCTCCGAATCTGGCTAAGAGCGAGCACTCGGCGAACTGAGTTGCGTTTTTATCTTTCGTTTTTCGGTTTCTGCTGAATGGCAAATCGAAAAATAAAACAAAACCGGAAAATAATCGATACGGAGTCATTCGAACTGCGAATGCTCTTAAGATTAAGATAAAACGACTTCTTTTTAGGTTGTTACTTTTTAAGTCGAGGATAGAAATATCTTAAGGATACATTTTCTAATAAAGAGTTCTTCTAAAAAAGGCTTGAAGGTTTCCTATTCCTTCAAACGTCATAGGAAAAAAAATTAAGGAATATTTTTTTTTTTTTTTTTTTGAATGATTTCTGAAAAGTTTGTAAAAGGTTGGATATTAATGTAATAGGAATAATACTTCATACAAATGGAATGATCATCTAAGTGTGTCTTATGGAAACTCTGATATTCAGTAAAAATAATTTTAGGTTTATTAGTTGCTTGATAGATTAACCCAATAAATTTAAATAATGTATTTTGATGAAACTAATCTGAGGGATTTTAAATAGTGAACTTAAAGTTGTTGACAGTTGCCGCATATCTTTATTCAGGTCTTTTATTATTTTTTGCTTTAATGTTTTGATTAAGAAAAGAGGTTTTTTAATCTTATGGCATAGTTAAAAGCTGGTTTGATACATTTTTAAAACCTTCTTAAGTAGTTAATGAGCCGAAATTCATTTGAAGTTGGTTAATTTGCTTTTAGAAATCAAGATATTAAGTTAAGCACTTACAAATGATTCTGGAATTCAAGTATACCTCTCGTATACCTTAACCGAGGGAATCTTCTTCGACAAGTGCCGACGGCATCCCTCAAAGTGGGATTAGGTTAATTTTAATGAGAACCCCGTTCGAGCTGGCATTTGTGACCTAGGTCAATGCCTGGATGCGTCGAGCGGCCGACTCGTCAGCGGGTGATATACATTTTTAGTGGCGTTTGCCGAGAAACGCATATTAATCACAGTAACCAAACCGAAATCGACGTCTGCGCTGTTTTATTTCACATCGAAGGCAATGAAAAGCAAAAGTATATTTAAAGTGGGCTTTCAAAACTGGTTGTGAAGAGCATCGCGAGTCGAGTCGTTACACACATGACTGCCAGGCTAAGAGAGTGGATAATGGGAGCCCCTCCGTGGGGTTCTCTCCACCCCCATTTCCATATCTCTGCGGTTATCTCACACTCTCTTAGCCAGGTGAAACAGTGGCTAGTGGTTACAGGGCGGGGTCAGAGGGGTTATATGGCAGTCTGAAGTATGTCGAGTGCATCGGGCGATGAGCAAATGGATGATGGCGATGATGCTATGAATGAATGACTCGGTAGAGGTAGATATCAACCAGTCGATGGAGGTGTAGACGTGTCTACGTCATAGATCTCGGTTCAGTGCGTCCACTTTGCATGTTAGCACCTTTCAAACTGGAGCTCCCCGCCTCGCGAGAGCCGGAAACGGATGCAACTAATGGATAAAGCAGCCGCAGCGTGCTATGATCTTATCTTTGGCATGATTTTTTCTGGGAAAAACGCCCTTTAATTAAGTCTCCTGATTGATTGATGAATCAGTTCCGAGTGGGAATTTTTTCTGATAGAGGATATGCATTAATTGCCCTGCCAGTGGGTGATTCTCTTGCCCAGGTCCCCTTTTCAGGGTCACTGGCAGTCTCTTGAGCCACTTTTCCTTTTTCGCATTCTTACATGCAAATAAGTCACTTAAAGTGTAACACTTGGGTTTGGCCAGCTGCTGTCTGTCCAAGCACTGAGCGAAAATACTGTGAGTAAACATATTTGTAATATGATAATTCTTAAGATCTTTATAGATATGAAATTTATATTCATATTATGAATTGATAGCAAATAAACTTTAAATATTTTTAAAACTCGGGGTGAAAGAAAACCGAAATTGATCAAATTGATATTTCATATTGAAAAGTTCTGTAGGAATGTTTTTTAGATAAATAATATTAAAATCGATTTCGTAAAGCGTAGACTAAAAAAGCACAATTGTTAGTCATTTTAGTTATTTAACTATTCCTATTACTTACAATTCTAAAGTGATTCAGCGCTAAACGTTTTCTATTTTTAAATTTGCAAAATTTTGATTTATGTTTTTTGATTCTTTTACATTTTTCTCAATGTAATGTTGAGTGTTGACCAAGTCATAACCATAACCATGGCCATGGCTAATAGCCAGGCCTTTGTTCTGGGGGCTGTTGCTGACCTAGCCCAAACAAATATCGCATATTTTCATAAAAGCCAGGGATGCAAAGCAAACTATAATGTAAACAATTATGTTATACTTTAATGTATAAAAAAGAGAACCAATAACCATACTAAAGTTTATAGCACTTAAGTTTAAAGTGATAAATATAAGAGTTTTTTACATCGATTATGAATTGTTATGAAAAATAACTCAAAATTGATTTACATAATTATTTCAAAAGTAAAGGTACTTTTTTTTAAGAAAACCATTGTAGTTCGAATCCCTGGCTTCCTTCCGATTTCTCCAGAAGAGCCAATAAAATTGTTTATAGATTTTCCCATATGAGGAAGCTTATGATTCATCCGAGTCACTGGCACTTCCTGCCCGTCCCTAGTCTCTCTGCTGCAAACCCAGATGCAATTTGAACCGAACCGATTTCATAAGGCCAGAACAAGTTTGCACATAGTTCAGTTCAAACGAAAAAAACAGCTTTGAGCATTAGTTATATTTTTTTTTTGCCTTTCCCTTTTCATGCGACAGACATTGAAACTTCTTGGTCGGATTTTGCTGTTAGCACATGGAGCATAACGAATCCATGGCTCAAAAACCCGAGCCAAATCCACTCGACAATCAAAAAATTTGACGCAAAATCGAAATGAATCGAGATCTACAAATGACATTCCTTCTAGCGCCTGGACCTGGACATTGAATCGCCTCGGGCGTTTGGTCGTCTGTCAAAGAGAAGTGAAACAGCGCCGGCAACATTTTGTAGACCTTATCGAAAGGTGGCTCTCGAGCTGTGGCCTTAAGTCGTTAACAAATTTTAGCTGCCAATCCGTTGTGCAGCCACAATAAAATAAAACGCCACAAACATCAAGTGTTTGTTGCTGGCTGCCATTGTTGAGGGTTCTCTCTGGGTTTTTTAAACATTTTTTTTGGCTGTTTTGGATGTCCAATCCCCCAGGTCGAATCGAATGACAAAAATGTGGCGGCCCGGGCCCAGGCAAGCCATCGATGTTGATCGATTCGATCAGCATAAAAAAGCTTTAATTAGAACCAATTTAGAGCGTGGACCAATTTATCAGAAGCATTTTGAAAAGTAGTTGGAAACCAGTTGGGAGCAACTTCAGCATTTCCGACGGGGGTTGTTGGGGAGGTGTTGCCGCAGATTTCATTATAGCTCAACATTAGCCGACAATATTATTGTTATGGCTTAAGCCCAACTGAAGTGAACTGAAACAGCAAACAGAAATTGCCATTTACGCATTTGTTTTTCTTTGTCAATTGTTCCACTATTCGAGAGGTGTGGACCGGGTTCAAGTGCACATTCATAACAATTATAAAGACAGATCTATATATGTAACAATGTGGAGCAGGCGCTGCGAGAGTTGAGCCATGGATTGATGAAGGTTTGAAGAATAGTAATATACTGTTTCGGCGAACTATAAATTTAAAATGGATGTTAGGTTTAATAAATCGGACAAAATACAATACTGATTTTAAAATTAAAATTATAATATATTACAAGGAAAAGTGCTTTAAAAACTTTGATAATGAAATCATCATTTGGGAATTAGGTTAACTCTATTCTAGCAACTAACACATAATGAGTAAGAATATAATTAAGGCAATAATAAACGTTCATGCCATATAAAAAATGTATGCTATAAAAAATAGTTGAAGTGACTGTACTGGTACCTGGTACCATGTTGAAGTTTTTATTCTGCGAAAACTATCAACTCTTCAAGCCGCCCTCTTCTTTTTTTTGGTAACATTTTCAGCCTTACATACAAGTGGGAAACCAGTTAATTAATTTGGTTCAATTCTTGGCATCTAGATGGAAGTCAAGACAGCCGCCAAAAAAGTTTTCTTTATATAACAATACATTAATTACCTTTCGATTTCTGGTTTTTACCTTGGGTGGAGTCATGAACCCGACAACTAATGCCATTAGCCCAGCCGTCGCGGATCTGGGATTACAATATTCGAGTGTTTGGATCGTTCAAGGAAATAGTTTTATTGCCAGCATAGCTGATGCAACTACAAGTTGTCTTCGGAATGTTAGTATCTATCGTATTTCGCCTTTGTGGGCACCCCAGGAGCTTGACCATTTGCTGAAAGGTTCTGGTTGTGATTGCTGCTGTGACTTGTTCCACTGGTGCTACTTCCGCCAGGCGAGGCTAGAGTGTAGACCTCATAGTCGGTGATGGTGAAGTTGTAGTCCCCGAAGAGAGTCAGGTGAGCAGCGTTGGTTCCGTCGTAGGAATGCGGAAGGTTCGAGTAGGAGTCCATGTTGGTATTACAGTTGCTGGAGATCAGCAGATCCGCTCCAGCTCCAAAAATGGGACCGCAACTGAAAGGGAAAATAAAAATACAAGAATTTTATTTCATACTGGAATTTAGAAACAATATCTTTCTATATTATATTTTTAATAATATTAATATTTGTGTATTTTCTATTAAATTGTGGCGATTATATTCTTAATATGGAAATGAAATTTGATATTTACTGGGCCAATTAATTAAAATTCACATTAGATTGTAATTTCTTAGACATTTTCTACACTCTTATAACTTTTTACTTACTCTGGGTGATAGCAGATGGCATAGGGCTTCTTAAAAATGTCGAACTTGGCCGGCTGTTCGCCATTCGCAGGGTTCAAGGCAAAAAGAAAGGCCCGCTCCGATTGGACATATCCACCCTTTCGGCTCGTTTTGGCCCAGGCCACATCCGTATAGCCACCACTGATCTCTCCATGCGATCCCAAGCCAATAACCATGCAGGGAGCCACGCCGTCACAGTAACGATGAAAGGATCCAGAATCAAAGCCGTGAGTGGATGCTCGGAAAACCAGTCTCCAGGATTGTTTGGGCACCCCGACCCAATTATTGAGTACTGTCTGTAGGGGAAGATTGTCGTTTCTCAGAATTTGGGAACCAGGAAACATGTTAACCGCTACGGTTAAGCGGGGCTGCAGTCTTTTATCATTATCCATCATTTTGTTGGCATGCAAAGCAGCATAGCGATAGCGTTCCAGGGATAGCTCCATGGGTACAGCTCCAGTGGGTTCCACTTCCTCCGCAAAAACTTGGCTATCGATGAGAAGCAGACGTACGTGACCCATCACGCCACTTAAGTGCTGGCAGACCCGAGCACGCTCCTCCTCAGTCCAATGTGCAGTTGGTTGGGTTACTCCTGCCTGGTATTTGGCCCAGGACAAAACGCATCGCCACACTTCCTCCTCCTCCAAGCAGAACTGTTGGGGAGAATAGGATTGTTAGTTTAGTATAGTTTTTATGTTATTATTTCTTGAAACATTATTTAAAATGCAGTTGCATATAACACAGGCCAACAGTGTTTTTGGTGCAGCCCTATGGGCATTAAATTGTGTTAATATAGACGGATATAAGCATATCTGCATACTTAGTTTTCGAGTTTAACGGGTGGTATTTGTGCAATCGCGGTTTGAAAAAAGTAGCAACATTTTATATTTTCATTTAAGATATCTTCGAGGGTCTGTGCTCAGTTGTGATAAAACCTATGCCAAAAAATTGCTTAGATGCCCTTCTACATAATTGCATTTAAGGTTCCATCATTATTTGAGTTAATAAAAGCCTATGACCCATTGAAGAAATTTGTTCACCTCTATTTACAACCAACTTGATGCGGTGAACAGGCTTAAAAAAATACAAGGACAAATATGTGCCCTAAAATATTTTACATGCATCTAGAGGCGTCTTTTCCCGAATTTTGGAGATAAATCCCACTATTGTACTTCGAAAAATGGAATTTATAGAATTTTTTCCGTAAGAATGGGAAAAGTAACAAGTATTTTAGAGTCACTCTTACGTAACGAGTTTGTCGTGATTTTACACAGTAGGCTTTTTAAAGATAACAGTGGCGTCGCCTTAAAATTGTGGTGGGGATTTTTTTTAAGGCATATTAACCCCTTAAAAATATAATTTGTCTATGTTCGGCGCCTACTGCTAACCAAATTGAAAGGCACATTTTTACGAATGTGTCAGATATTTATGTAAAATGGGATTTAAAAATAGTTGTTACTTTTTAAGTTCTTACGGAAAAAATTCTATAAATTCCATCCTTCGACGTACAATGGTCTTATTTGTCTTAAAAATTCGGTGAAAGACGCCTCTAGATGCCTGTAAAATATTTTATGGCATATATTTTTCCTTGTATTTTTTTAAGCGTGTTTACCGCATCAAGTTGGTTGGGAATAGAGGTGAACAAATTACTTCAATGGCTCATAGGCTGTAATTGACTCACATTATGATGGAACCTTAAGTGCAATAATGTAGAAGGGCATCTAAGCAATTTTTTGGCATAGGTATTATTACAACTGAGCACAGACCCTCGAAGATATCTTAAATCAAAAAATTAAATGTTGCTATTTTTTTTAAACCGCGATTGCCCAAATACCACCCGTTAAACGCGAAAACTAAGTATGCAGATATGCTTATATACGTCTATATTAACATGTTTTAATGCCAAAAGGCCTGCACCTTTTAATAAAGTCCATTTTGTTGACCTGTGTAATATACACTTTTTTAAACTGGATGAATTAAATTAAGAAATAATTTATGAAAACATGCAGTACTATTTGTTGATGTATAATTGAAAGGATAATTTTAAAAGACTTTTTTCAGATCAACTATGCATTAAATTTTAAAAATAAAAATGTGTGTATAGGAAATATTATGTTTTTTGGTTTGAATTAAGGAAAAATACAACTTTTAGTTTTTGGTTGTCTTACATAGTCGGATGAAATAATCTTGATGATAGCATCCTTGGTTAAAGTGAGAAAAGCATTTGTCTTAACGCACTCGTTGGCATTCTCGCCTATAAAGATGATGCAGCGTTCCATAAACGAGGCAGCACATTTTGCACCTGGAAATAAAGGGAAGAGTTCATTATTAGTACTTTTTTTTTAAGGGCTGTTTGTTTAAGAATTTTACCTTGCTAAATCTTCAAATTTCTTCTTTCCTGGAATCAGCCTATTTTCTTTCTAATCCTCTCCCATTAAAAACTCTTGATTACAGAAAGTCTACCTTTTATTTGAACATTCGTCTTCAGATTTCGGCTTTACATTTATTTAACTTATATTTATGACGTGCAGCGGTCGCAGGTGGAATTCGTAGGGTAGAAGCTGTATCCCCTAGTCCTTCGTGGGATTGACGTTCTGTATGAGCGTGATGTTGTCGCCCTTGAGCATGATCCTCCCGAGGTTCCTGCGCTGGCGGGTCTTCACATAGACCTCCTCGGCATCGTCCAGCACCAGATTCATGTACTCGTCGAAGCCCACGATGTGGCCCTCGATGCGCAGCGATATGTTTTCATACAGCCAGACTTGCACGCGGGATCGGTTCTGCAGGTATCGGAAGATCAGGTTGATGGGCTGCACCATCACCTTCTGCACCTTGGGGTTGGCCTTGAACGACATTTTAGCTAATTTCCGGCGTCTTTAATTCAGTTTAACCAATTTTCGCTTCTTTTTGCCGGCGTCTCTTTTTTGTCCAGGGCAGTATGACCGCGCACTCGTTGATAAAATATACTGAATACTATTTTCACTTTTAAAACATACCGTTTTAGTAACAATATTTCAGCACTAAAACTATCAAAAAACGGTTATTGTCCAATTTTCGATGACCTGATTAGTTGTAGAATTCAAAATCCTCGTTATAACTAAATGGCTCAAATTTCTTTCACTTGATAAAGCAAGTATTCAAAGATTCATCAACTTAACAGTTTACGGAATACCATTATTATGTTAATAGTATATTCAGTTTTAAACTAAACCTAAGCCTTCGTTCATCGCTTAATATCGATATCAATAAAAATAAATACTAAACATTTCGACAAAAACCGATGTTCGATGTTTTTTTTACATCACTATTCACTATATTTTGTGGTCGCTGAAGTTGTTGCCAATTTCCTGGCTGAATTTAACTAAATTGTAAATAAAACAAAACATATGGCCATGGCGAATGTGGATAAGGGCGAACTTATGGATCAGGTGAAGCAACAGATTGCTGTCGCGAATGCCCAGGAATTGCTCACACAAATGACCCAAAAGTGCTTCAAAAAGTGTGTCAATAAGCCGGGAACTTCCCTTGACACTTCGGAACAGGCAAGAACTAGCTTATATGGTGTAATAACATGAATTTTAATCGCATTTCTTCAAACTTTCGATACAGAAATGCATTTCCATGTGCATGGACCGGTTTATGGACTCGTGGAACCTCATCTCCCGGACGTATGGCCAGAGATTACAGCGGGAACAATCCAATTTCTAGAGAGAGACACATGGCTTCTGCATTTCAAGGCAGATTGGGGCTAACTATTCTGCCAGCTATTGATTAGTTGTAATATTTACAGTTTAATAATGCAATAAAAACATGCGTTACATGTGTTACGTGATTCATGAGATGTGAAAAATATTTAAGAATATCAATGTATCGATATTTGTTTGTAGGAATAAATATTTTTATCGTGATTTCGTGAACACAACATGTGTATTGCGCTTAACAGACTCTATTTTACGTGCTGTTAACTAAAAATACCAATTCACAATCGTTCTGTTGTTACTTGACATTTGATGTCAAATGTAGAAGCTACTGTTGCGCAGATTTTACTTATTTTTTAATAACAAATGATTTAACGTTAATTAACTCACCTGCTTTTTCGTGTATATCCATTACGGCAGTTAAAAATGTGCAGGCATTATCCACCGACAAAGTGGATATAACGTGGTCCTCGCAAGCGGTGCGCAGCTCAACCACGCCCATATCCTGGGCCATCATCATCATTTGAAATACTTGGGAATCCTGAAGAACCAACTGAAAATACAGTTTTTAAAAATTTATAAATATTTGTCGTAGTTTAGGCTCACAGAGCATATTCCTTACCTTTGCCGTGTAGACGTACAAGATAAACTGCCTAAATAGTTCCGGATTCACGTGGGGCAATCGTATGGTAGTCGGAGTCGAAGCTCCTGGGGCTGCTGGGGAAACGGTGCATCCGGGAATTCGACACACCTCACCCCTCTTCGCCGTCTTGAAGCTCTTGCAACTGAAATCGAATTGAGTCAATGGAGAGGCAGCGCAAATTAATTGAGTGACCAAGTGGAATGCCCGAGATTCCAGCACGCAACATTGTAAGGTCCCAAAAAGGAAATCGAATGGCAATCATACTCTTCCACCGCAAGATTTTTTATACGTTAAAATAAAAATTTTACAATAGTCACAACTCACCGAGCCATCAGCATTAATCTGTGGGCATAGATGCGTTCGTCTCTGCCGCAAATAAATACCACATCGGCACTATCCTGATCCTCTGAAAGGCGCTGCAGATCGTCGATCAACTGGGGCAGACTCATGATTAACTTGGGATTATTGGTCCTTGTATTTCAAATATTGCAATCATTCGAGCCGGGATGCACGTGTTGCTTTTGTTATTATTTTGCAAATGGGTTTGTTTATGTTTTCACTTCCTCGTCGCGCTCTAAAACTCTCTTAGTTTCGCTCTTTTGATCACTGGATTGGTGGGAACGCTGAAACCGGTTCCTGTCTGAAAATTCTTGGCCAACACCAAGCCACAGCCAATTTGCCAAACAAAATGCTGTGGTAAAACAATTACAACCAGATTAAATGTGGTTTATTTTGCACTATTTTCATTAAAAAAGTATAATATTTTATGTATTCACATTGAAATAAACATTTAAAAAAACACTTTCGACCTTCTTTTTGTATAGACTTTGCTTTCATTTGACCGCTTGCGTTCTTTTCACGATCGCGATTTAGTGAAGACTGAAGAAGAGACTTCAGACAGGTAGCTCTTTTGGGTCTTTCTCAATTTTTTCTCCCAGGCAGGTAAACATGATTTGTTTTTGTTATTCTCCCGGTATGCTCTTTGCTCAGAGAAGATTTGTTGCCTAAGGATGCTAGGAGGATATATACAATAGAATTAATAAATGAATGAAATTAAAGGTGACAGGATCACCAGATGGAACTTTAATTCTCATATTGGATTTTGATTAAATTTTATGCAAAGAACAAGGTAACATTATTCCTTTGATATTCATTAACATTTTATATGATGAATTATATTATAAATCCGGAGAATAATTAAACAAATAATTAATTAAACAACATTTTTTCAAAAGTTATGTTTATTGAAAAGATAGCTTATTTGGATTATACTTCGAAAAAATATATTCCTTTCGATTACAAAATTGTGCTGTTCGACAACGGATCGACGACGCGTCCTCGGAAGTATATGGTGCTCTGATCTCGAATTATGAAGACGAACGGTTTATCGGCTTTGAAGGAAGACACCGTTTCCGGAAAATCTGTGGAAGACAAGACAATAAATCAAATGAAATGAAATGGAAAACTTATCTAAAATGTACCAGATACACCCAGGAACGTCCCTGCATTAGCTGCTCCAGCCGAAGCGCCCTCCTCGTTGATCTCTACGAAGGCTTTGTGCACGACTTGGCTGATTCTGGTACCAGTCCTCTTCAGTAGGCCGCTGAGGTTCGAGGAATTGGTAAAGAGCTCAATTATTCCCATCTGTAAATCAAAACACATTGGATCAAACCATTTGTTAAACAACACACACCTACCTTTTTAAGAGTATCAACGAGTTCAGTGCGAAATTCGATTTTAAATCTCGGCAGCTGCACATGTACCTGCATTTCATCTAGGGACTCGGAGAAACTATCGATTGTTCTTTCAGCCCTTTCTAGACCCCCATTATTGTGGGGTAGAACGATTACCATTGAAAGGTTTGAGTAGGCGAATGGCATCTCTATGATTCTGTCATAAGCGGAAGAACGCATCTTAAAGATACCCACTTGAGACATCATGGGGACTAAAACTTTCTGGGTATCAGATATATGGAATGTCATAACCTTGGTACTCTTTCTTTTAAACCGCGACTTCCAGTAGCCCTTGAAGAAAGCGGCGTTTACGAGGACCGCACTTTCGTCGTTCGCCAAGTTACTGGGTGAAATTATACCTTTAACGTTATCGAGAGTCTTGTCAAGCACCCAATCGCTGATCGTCCAAGCTGCCTTCGCTCGATCTCTCAGATTAATCGCCTCCACCTCGGCTCTGAAGGAATTCTTCACTAGCTTATTGTAGTTCCTATTAATTCCATATGATTCGTTGACAAACAGACGATTGGCCATATCGAGCACAGCTACCTTCTTACGATTTTCAAGATTAGTCATAAGCTGATCGTAAATTTTGGCCACTTCCTTTTTATCCTTTGGCAGGATCAGAGCTCTCCTCAGTTCATCTGCTGTTTTTCCTTCTGCCCCCATGAGGATCATGCTCATGCCAATCTCGACGCAGAAAGCCGAAGCAATGAAATTATTATTTGCATGTTTCCGGCTCAAATGTTCGTAGAGCTTGTCAGTGAATTTACCACAAAGCACAGACGTGGCCAATAAGACCAGACCTTCAAAGAGGGAATGGTAAGCGGTAACATAATAATTCCCTGACTTTTTACTTACACAAGTACTTCATTTCACTACACTCTATCTGTCTCGACTAAAAGTAATTTACAATACTGCATTAGTATATTCTCAAAGATAATGGCAATTGGTCATAGATAATTAAATTAATAGAATCCCTTTATGGATGATGTGAGCTGTATCCAAAAGTAACTTACACAGCGCTTTTACGCTCGGACGTAAAATAGTATAGCTCCCATAGGGACAATTAGGATATTTATTGTTTTTATGTTATAATTCCTATTTCTATATATAGATTTGGTAAAATCTGCAAGTGAAATAAAACTTCGGCTTGGTTATCTTCAGTTCCCGTTTTCTTACATTTTACATACCCAATCTACGTGGGTTTTTGTGCGACACCTAGTGTTAATATACGCGACCTTGTATATTACATTTTACTCACACTTTTACTCACAATGTATATTATTGTATTATACATACAAGTCATGGGCGTATCACGAAGGAATAAATTTTGGGGTTTAAATATCTAAGATTTTACACATATCGACGAAGAGCAAAAATTTTGACTATGAAAAGTCCTTCAGAATCTTGCTTTTAGCATAACTTATTAATGGAGTTTCGGATTTTAGCAAATGAGCTAAAAATATAGCTCTGATTTTCTAGTTGCAGAATTTACTTATAAAGTCGCCTTCAAGCACTTCTCACTCCACCCACCACTTTTTCTTTGAGAATAAAAATCACATTGATATATTTTGCATAATATTTATCGCTTTTTTATTTGTTGTTTTTGTTTTCATTACATATGTAATAATTTATTTTTGTTTTCCTTTGTATTTATTTGTTTCTGCACTACTTAAATATGAAACGTTGAAGTCAAATTTGTTTTTTCATTAACTGTTTAATTTGATTAAACTTTATTTGCTTGTGGTGCATTTCATTTGATGTTTTCGTTCATACTCCTCTATCCCCCGAATTCTCACTACATTTTCTATTGTTTATTTGCTCCACAATTTGTACATTTTATTTCTGCATTCTGAATCGTCAGACATATAATTATGTATATGTTGTATTTTGACAAGACGCGGATTTGTTGCTGCATGCTTAAATAATTAATATATAACTTATGCCATTATTTTGTGATTTCTTGTTCTTCTGGTTGCTTAGCCTTTGCACGTTTAAGTTTTAACAATTTGAAGTCGATTCATTAAGCGGGGCAAAGATGCTCGTATTTTGCTGGGCATCGATCTATCTCGTATTTAAATTTAAATTTATATATATAATATGTCATATATAAACACTCGGGTTATGTAAAATTTGTCAATATACTTTAATCGTTTAATTATAAAAATGATTGTTTGTTTTGTTGTTTATCTCTTTGGGTTGTTAGCAAAAATGATACAAAAAATGTTTGGGTTTTTCTCGTCTCTGTAAGTTCAACTATTTCCATCGTTTGTAAAATTTGGCCATAAATACACGAAATTGCTGAAAACCGTTTTGATGTTTTGACTAACCATTTTCGTCCCTATTCATTCGGTACTGATCTGCTTTGATGTGTTCTATAATTTATTTAATGTAATTCGTTTATTATCGTACTGGTTCTGGTCTGACAAATGAAACACGAAATTTGAGAGAATTCATTTACAATAATAAGTATATTTTTGTTTCTTATTTTTTTGCATAGCAATTGTAATTTCATTTTATTAATTTTTTCGCATATATTTTGTTTAACTTTTTTAAATAAGCATAACAATGAATTTTTTCATGCCTAAGGTCTCCATTTAAATGGTTTATAAATGTTTTATTTACGTTTTAAATGTTTCGTTTTTCGCTTTTTAAATTTATACAATTTTACACAATTTTAGCTTAAGGATAGACAAATTTTGGTTTGAATTTGTTTAAATGTTTTTGTTTCTTTTTCTTTTTTGTTTTAGCTTAGAAAATGTATTCTTAAATACAGAACGAAATGTTTTCTTTTAGAAAGTACAAACACACACAGGCATAAATAATTTATGAAATATGTTTTAATAACAAAAGTTTATAGATTTTAGAAATCTCTGCGCTCTTTTCGCTTGGCTCTTGGCTTGGGTTTGTTTCCAGTTGGTTATCATCCAGAAGATATCTAGCATATACATATGTTTCTCACAAAGTGTTGGCAACTAAAATCCGTAGTACTCTAATCTCGTCGAAGGGAAAATGATATATACAAAAAATGAGGACCATTCGATGCCATTCACAATAGACAAAGAACTGCGCCACAGAGAAGCCTTAAGAACTAGTTAGCAAATGTGGTTGTTGTACGGTTACAATCTACGAAACTAAATGCCTACAGAGCAAAGCTTACAAGGTGAAGAAGAACAGAAGTCTGTAATTATACAATTAAGAGAATTGCTCGAATTAGAACTAGCAGCTACAATAAATATTAATCTTTATGTATGTTTATGTATATGTTTATGCTTCTCGTGAAGGCTTAGTATTAATTAATAATCCCGCACTTGCTGCTCATCCTCTATCATATATCGTAGAATATTACTCATATTTGTATTGTATAAATTTAACGCGGCAACTTCTTATTCATAAAAATTGGTTTTCCCTTCTTTAATAAGAATTATGTTAGAGTTGTTTAGCGTTTACTTTTTGTTATTTTCTGTGGTGGGTTCATTTTGTGTGTTCTCTCTCTTTGCTCTATCGATTTGTCTGTTTAACTTAAAGTTAAGGTTAAACTAAAGGTAATTACATTGGTTTCGAGAGGGCAATATGGATATCCCCCCCCTAATAAGAACGAGCTGCCTGTCGGACCAAAGAAAAATCTTTACTAAATTTTGTTTTCGAAGCCTCGCTTTGAATATTATTTTGGGTTTAAATGTCTTGCAGAGCTTACAAGTTAAAAAAATTAAAACCTAATTAGGGTTAGCAGTAGGTGGTAAAAACACACGCACAAATTGGTCGTTGAATAATATACACAAATTGATTTTCCTTTAAAGCTTTGGTTTCATTTATAATTTCTGCACGCAACGCTGAAAGATTTTCGAAATAGGGAAGCCTAAATAATGTTTTTTTTGTCCTTTTCGGTTTTAAAAGTGAGATCAATTCAAGCTATGTAAAAGCGTTTTAAAATATGCTTTAAAATTTTGAATAGTATTTTGTGTAAAGTGCAAAGAAAGTTTAAAAAATGGCTTAGTTTCAGAAATTTATATTGATTTAAGCAAGGCTCTTAAAATTTGTATGGGGTATGGATTTGTCACTTTATAAGCAGCGAAAGAAGAAGTCTCTCAGAAGTCTCTAGTTATTTGAAATCAATTGAGAGAGTGCTTAGCTTTTGATATCATTTTATATATTTAAATACTCCAAATATTGTGAATATCTTTTAAAGTTTATGGTGCCGACACTTTATATAAAAAATGTAGCATAGATATCATTTCTTCTTGCTGGCTGCGAATGGGCAATATGTGCGTTTAGGCTTTGTGCTTGAATTTCGTCTGCACTCTCTTCTCCAAAAGAAACAGGGATCCTAACTAAGTTCAAACTGTTTTGTCGTGTGTGTGAAAGAGCTTTTCGTTGAGAGGTTTTTGGGGTTTTTGTCTCTAGGGTATTTCCTTTTTGATTTGTAACTCGCAGTTCGTTGTTGCTGATGTCGTGGTGGATGTGGCTGCAGTGGGTGGTGCGGGTGGAGTCTGTTTCTTGCTGGCCTTGGTGGCCATGGGGGCATGTGGTGGTGGTGGTGGTGGTGCTTGTGCCTGATGGTGGTGTCCGGCGGTCTGTGGTCCCACCCGCTGGCGCTGCTGCTGCTGTCGCTGCTGCAGGGGCATCTCGTCGTCATCGGACTCATCCTCTTCCGGGTTCATCTCCTCCTCCGCTTCCGCCTCCTCCTCCTGGCTCTCCTCCTCGGGCCTCTGATTGTTATCCTCGCTGCCCACATGACTGCTGATTTTTTCCAGTGCATGGCAGGCGGACATCTGGGCCTTTTTCATCGATGACTCATCGCTGCTATTGCTGCTATCGAACAGCTGACCAGCGGTGGCCGCCGAGTCCGGCGAGAGGGGCGTGGTTGCCGTGGGGGGCGTGGCCAGAGCACTACTGTGGGGAGCTTCTATCTGAACCTCTTCATCCTCTTCCTCCTCGTCCTCCTCCTCATCGTCTTCATCTTCCTCCATGTCCTCGTCGCTGGAAGTTTGACTGGGTTGGGGACTTTTAAGATTATTATTTGGGGCGCTTTTCTCGCCGTTTTCTTGGGATTTTTCCAGTTCCTCCGGCTCCGAATTATTGGAGGGACTTTCCTCTTCCTCCACCTGACTGTCCTTAATTTTCTCCTCTACCTGCAGCTTTATTCTCTTGTTCTCCGGCTCTTCCTCCTCACTCCCGCAACAATTTAGGGGCGTGGCACTGCGTCGCAGGCCATTCGACGGTGGCTTTGTCAGCGGCGATAGCAGCTCCTGTTGATTATTGTTATTAGCCCTGTCCTCCATTTCCATTTCCTCCTCCTCCAGCTCCTCGTCCTCCTCGCCGGGCTCTCCCCGCCCCTCCTCCACCACCTCCTCGAGTCGAGTTTGCTGCTTGAATGGCATCTTTCGGAGGTCCACCTTGCAGACCTGCTCCTCGAACTGCCGGCGATATCGCTGCAGTTGCTCCGTTAGGTCGGCTATATGGGCATCTTGCTTGTGGAGCAGTTCACTCAACTGGATGTTATTATATCGATATTGATTGTTCTCCTGCATAAGTCGCTGCAGCAGGTGGAGCACTCGTTCCCGGTCGCGGGGTCGCGTTTCTCTCAGGGATTCCACCGCCTGCTCCCAGGGCGGTAACATGGCACTCGAGTCGGGCTCTCCGTTCAGACTGTCCGTATCATCGGTGTCCGTGGACAGCTCGAATTCGCTGCCCAAATGGGGCTTACCATTCTTCAGGCCATGGTTCCCAGATCCTCCCGAACTATGCTGCGTCTTCTGGTGGTTCGGCGGATGGTGGGGCGAACTGACCACATTTGACGAGTGGGTACTCAGATTCAGGCCAGCACTGGAGGACTGAGTGGGTGAGGCGGCCTGACTCTTGTAATACCCATGGCTATAGTGATGCATGTGCGTTGGGTGGTTCTGCTGCTGCTGCTGGTGGAAGTGATGTGGTGCCACACCCACCACCACCGGCTGCTGACTCATCATCAGGTTCTTGTTGATCCTAATCCGACTCGGTTCGTTGTTTGTGGCTGCCAGCGAGGAGCCTCCATTGCCATTGGGCAGGGAACTGGAGCTGGGCAATAGTTTGGCATGCTGATTAACGGTGGCTATGATGTGCTGCGACGGTGGTTGATTGGCTCCGGTGGCCGAGTGGTGCTGCTGATGGTGTGGTGAGGTGGAGGAGGTAATCTCATTGCTGCCGCCCGCCGAGAACTCCTCCGGACTGCGCATGTTCCGAAGGTTACTCGGTGTGGGTGGTGCCGGTGCACCACCGGCTGCATTGGGTGGTCCAGTGGCTGGTGCTGCGGGCAGGTGGGCGGGTAGTGGTGAATTGCTGCCACTCGAGGAGGTGTGCGGTGGCTCAGCGACCTCCAGGGGCGCAGAGAGAACCTCGGCTGGCGATGCTGTCGGTGGCGGGGGTGTCTGCGATCGCTCCTGCTTAATGTGCACCACCTGGTGATCCGCCGTCTCCTTCTCCCTCAGCCGCTGACGCTCCATCATCTCCCTCTCCAGCCGCTCCCTGTCCTTGTCCCGCTCCTTCGAGAGTATACTCTTCCGCGGTGCCAGGGCCACATTGGGCTGGTACGTCCGCTCCGCATACCGCTTGTCCGTGCTCCGCACCACCCGCTCCGGATTTTGGAGCTCCGGCGGCTCCTGGCAGGCGTAGGGCAGCGAGGACAGCGTCGCGTTGTAGGCGTTCAGAAAGGCCTTGGTGGTGGTGGGTCCCCAAGGTCGGAAGGCCGACGCGGAGTTCAGCGCGGGTGGTGGGTGGTGGTGCGGTCCATGCGGGTGGGGGGCGGTGGCCACCAGAACGGCGCGGTGCTGGTGGGGCAGGGGGTGCGGCAGGTGCTCCCGCTCCCTCTCCCGCTCCCGCTGCACACAGTGCGCGTACATAACCTGATAGTGATACTCCAGCGTGGACGCCGCAGCCGAGGAGGCCCCCTTGAGCTGCTGCAGCTGCTTCTTGCCACTGGGAATGTCCATCTGCGGCTGCTTCATCGGCGGTATCGGGGGCGGGGCCAGGGCGCCCACCAGTCCATGTGGATGTCCCGCCAATCCGAGAACATGCCCCGAGCCCAGAAGACCGTCATCCATGAGCATTTCCGCCTGGAAAGAAATGGTTGAAAGGGGTATGGTCGTTAGAAAATTGATCGATCATAAAAGTGAAACACTGGGAGAAATTATAAAAGTATTAGTTTATTATGAAATATTATATTTTTAAAGAGCAGGTTTTGGGAAATTAAGTGTGGAATTTTTAAATAAATACACAGGAACACAAAATTAAACTTTGTGAAATTTCCACGAACCATTTCAAGTTTTCCATGATATTTGGGTGCTCCTGAGTAAAAGTCCCATACAAAATTATTTTCCATCACCTACAGGTTCCGCGGTATAGCTAAGAATACAAAAAACCGATGTTGGTCGACATTTTGAATTACGTGGCCTATATAATTGGACTAACCTTTATTATTTTCGGTAGGACCTACTCTCAATACATCACGGCATTCCTAAAAAGTAGTCCCCATTGTGAACCATTGCCCATGTCTTTGGAATTCGACGCCAAAGTTAAAAATCCCAAAATTGTAGAGATTTTTTTGATGTAAAAACAATTCTGAGGATTAATTCTTGAATGGAAGTAATTTTAACTATTCATTGTATCTATTGTCCATTGTATGCTTTAATTTCGGTTTAAAGCGTTTTCATGAGGACATTTTATTGGATTTATTATACTAATAAAACCGATTTTTTTATTTCATTATCTACTCCTAAATGTTGTCAAATCTTGAATAAGTCATGGCAACCTCTAGAACTAAGAAACTAAAGTACGTTCACTGAACATACATAGAAAAATGTAAATGTTTACTCCCATTCTGTAGGATGCCTTGACTTTTTTAAAATTTGACAACATTAAGGAGTAGATAATGAAATAAAAAAATCGGTTTTATTAGTATAAGAAATCCAATAAAATGTCCTCATGAAAACGCTTTAAACCGAAATTAAAGAATACAATGGACAATAGATACAATGAATAGTTAAAATTACTTCCATTCAAGAATTAATCCTCAGAATTGTTTTTACATCAAAAAAATCTCTACAATTTTGGGATTTTTAACTTTGGCGTCGAATTCCAAAGACATGGGCAATGGTTCACAATGGGGACTACTTTTTAGGAATGCCGTGATGTATTGAGAGTAGGTCCTACCGAAAATAATAAAGGTTAGTCCAATTATATAGGCCACGTAATTCAAAATGTGGGCAAACATCGGTTTTTTGTATTCTTAGCTATACCGCGGAACCTGTAGGTGATGGGACATAAGTTTGTATGGGACTTTTACTCAGGAGCACCCAATTATCATGGAAAACTAGAAATGGTTCGTGGAAATTTTTGGCTGTGTACCTGTGATATCAAACTATTACTATTTTAATTTTAATGCCTATGTAAAAATAATCTCTTAGATATATTTTTCCCCTGTGGTTGCTTTAAGGTTTTTAGAAAACCGATCGAGCATAAAAATAGCTGTGGAAGCCTGGCAAAACCAGTAGCCATCATCAATTTGAATTGCTGTCGGTGGCGAGCGAGTGGGCTAATTATAAACAAACAACCCAACTGCCCGAGGAGCGATCCTCGAAAGCCAGACACCAAGCCCCAAACGCATCCCGCGGCTATGGCGCCAATTGTCATTGAGACCAGGCCAAAACCAGAATCCGGCGAAGGAGGAGGAAGCGGAGGTGACTGCCACTGAACTGGACAGGCGGCGGTCTCCTCCTGGTCCTCTAACTGCTGACCGCTTTGAAGTGGCTGCCAGCAGTTGTCTCATTCTACATACTACCACTCATTATACCCTGTAGTTAGGGTATTCAGAGTTGTTTTGGCATTGATACTAAACACCAAAAAAATCGATTGGTCAAATTAACCAATATAATTGTCAAACAGTCCCCAAAAACAAAATACACGTAACTGTTTTTTTATATATTGGATTGGATCATTCCTAACATTTACGTAAATTAAATAACAATCATATCTAGAACTATAAGGACTAAATAATTTTGCACTATTAATAATATATCTCGTTTTCTTACAAGAAATACTAAAATACGAGGTATACCATAGTCGAACCCTAATCTTTCACACATATATTTGCATTATCAGCATGGTTAAAGGAAGAAGTGAATTGAGTGGGGGAAAACGAAGAGGAGCAATCGCAGCCGGTTTCGCGGTTTGCGTGTTTGTGTAGCTGTTAAAATGATTGGCACTGCGTCCAATTATGGACAACGCAACCTCAGCTGCATTCGCAGCAGCAGCCATAAAGTGATTTTTGAATGGAGGCGGCGCCATTATCCATTACCCATTGCCATCGCCATGGCCAACAGCGTCCTCCAGCTTCAAAACCATACCCATCCTCATTTTCCAGAGGAGGTGTCACAGCGGCAGTTAAACAAATGGCCAAAGCAAACGATGGCGATGATCGAAACGAGTCTGTAGGAAGTCGCCTCTTGGAGATTTGCCGCTGAGTTGGTAAATGGTAAACCGAAAGGTGGGCTAATGATGATGGAGATCTGTAGATCCCAGAGCCGCAGATCAGCGAGCGTGTCAACAACGGCTCATTAGCATAATCATGGCATTGGGTTTCAGCATTTAGGGGAGATGCCATTAAATTGTTGGCCCAAACAACCAGTTCTGCTGTTCAGACATCCTCGAAGTATGCAGTATATGTTTACAAGCAACTGGATTTTGTTTTGGCCATCATTTTGGGTTAACAAGTTGACCCCGAAAAAAGGCTACCAGCAAGTAGATAGAAATAAATTTAGAAAAACAACACTCCGAGGGGAGAGATTAGGCCCCCAAACTGGAGACGATGGCAAACTGCACAAAAAATATTAAATAAAATAAGACACACATTGAAGAGGCTAAGAAAGATATAGACGCAGCGATAAGAAAACTGGAAGCCAGACACATACTCGAACTCGCAGTGGAGGCCCACAAATGAACCATTAAACAGCAGAATCATAAAAATCAAGAGACATAAAGAAGTCGTCGCAGAGGAGCGCCATCTTCAGGCCCATCCGCATCCGCAGCACCACCGAGTGGTGGAGCAGCACCACCGAAACCGAAGCGCAGCAGGAGATGCCCGGTGCTCGAAGCTCGGCGACCGACAGTCGCTTTAACTGTAAGCAGATGGCAGCCAGCGATAGATGACGAGGCTCTGAGGCAGCCAAGGAGCTCAGACGTGCACTCAGCGAAAAAAAACCAAAATGGGTTATTTAATTAATTTAATTAAATTTGGATTTTTAGTTGGGTAATTAATCAGTGAAGATTTATTCCTCAAAAATGTAGACTTTTAAAGCCTTATTTTGTTAAAAATTAATTATATATATTATATTATAAAATAAATAAGAAATAATATTTGGAAAATAAAAATGCAATTAAAAAACCATTATGGCAGATTTAGAAAAATGTAGGATATACTACCCTTTCATAAATAATAAAGATTGATACTTTTCTTTACTTCAAATGTAATCAAAAACCGAGACTGTCCTTGGAGATATTTATTTTCACGATTTTGATATTGGTGTTTGAGAAAAACATTCTTAATGTTTGCTATTAGGTTGGTTCTAAAGTCTCTGCCGAAAAAGTAGACGATTTCTAGTGAATTTTGGCTTCGAATTTAATTGTTTCATAAATGATTTGGTAGTTATACATATTTTTTTTCAGTGCCTGGAAGCAGAGTGGCTGAGGAGCAGTCGACCGCTCAGTGACTCGAGTCTCCATGCTGGCGCACGCGTCGTCGCTGACGGTGCAATGACAAATTGCACTATTGGCAGAGGATGAGGCGGAGGGGGCAGGTGGTGGTGGAGTCATCTTAGTTGCGAGTGCGGGTGCAAGATGGCACCGTTTCGTATCTTTTCAGTGAACAGGGAGCGGGACGCAATATCGACGTCGCTAGTGCTTAAGTCCAAGGTCTTTTGCCATAACTCAGCACCAAAGATGATGGGGAAAATCGTAAGAGATCAGTATGTGTTCAAGAGTTTGTATACCCTACCTATGAGAAGATAGAATATCGGTTTTCAAAATAAAATAATAGAGTAAAAAACCTAAAACAATAAATATTTAAATATAAAAATGATCCCTGATTTTGGTTAACCTATTAAAGTTCTTAATCCATCAAGGACAAGGATCTCTTTTGGTTAGTGTATCTACAAAAATAATTGCACCCAAGTGACTGCGGCTGCTGCTGTTGCCCAGGGGTGTGGCAAGGGGGTTTCGAAAGGGGGTAGCCGCAAGCACGGCAGTAGAGCCATGGCAGCGACATGACTCCGCTTGACGATAAGATCATGGCAAATATTGACGACGACCGCGACGGACATGGACATAAGATGCCGATGGAGACGGCAAACGGCAATGGCAAACGGCGTTGACAATGAAGTCCGACCGAGTCATGTATGGGTGCAACGCCAACAACAGCAACAGCCACAACAACAACAGCAAAATGCACAGCGGCAACAACTTGCGCCCCATTGATTTAGACTGGCAATTATGCAGCCAAAGATCGGCGTCGTCCTGCTGTTGCTGCCTTCTTGCATGTTTCTCAATTGATGAGGATGGTTTTGGGGTTTGCGGTCCGGGGATTGGAGTTCGGGATACAGGGGAGACTGGGATGCAGTGGCGTCCATGTGGAAATGGAGCAGCGACCCATATGCATTCGACATTGCACCGACATCGTCGTAGTTTGGATGCTGTCAGCTTCATCTGCATTTCTTGGCGTCATCTTGTTGGCGCGGCTTATTTTGCAATGCACTCGGAAAATTTGAAATCAATACAAATTTGAATTATTTATATTTTTCTTTTCAAATTGAGGAAGAAATAAGATTCCCAGCTAAAACATTTGTCAACATGGCGCCCGAGCAGGGACATTTCAATAACTGTAGACATTCAATTTCAATTGTTTTTTAATGTAGAATATTTTTCTTTGGAGGTTCAAGTTTTAGCTTTTGTTTTATGGAACTTAAACAAAAATATTTTAAATATCAACCGTTTTTCTTTCGGTGCATTCCTGCTTTTCTTTTGCTGTTTTTGTTTGCGTCTGGCGCTGGCCGTAAACTTGTTT